AAGAGTTTTACGGCACTTGCAACACAATTGAATAAGGTCATATAAGTGCCGAAGAATAGAGGTGTTACAAGTTTACAAGAGAGTAACATACACAAACAAGAAGAGGAGAGACAAGGACGATAGATGTTTGATAGGAAAGAAGGAGCAAACCACACCAGAGCACCCCCCAACCACCCATGCCTTATGTTTTGTTGAGGAGCAGTGGACAAAGAAAATAAGAGAAACATGACTATATAGTTGAGTCATATTGGAGGTACGGTAGGCTTTTCTTATCTTCATTGTCCACAAGTCAGACAAAACCACTGGCCAACGGTTCTTTCATAGTGCCGTACTAGGCTTAAGGTGCACTCAAACTATAACTATAATCAAGGTCCAATGTTTTATTGAAATATACAGGCTGAATGTGGTGACTGCTTTGGATATTGTGATTGCACACTGGAACGGTCAAAATACTGGACTATAAAAGGGGATCTGAGCCCAACACAACATCTGTTAACCTACCACTAGTTGAGCAGGACCTTTACTGCACTAGCAACACAAACAGGTCATATAAGTGTCGAAGATTAGAGGTGTTACTACAGAGTAACATTTAAAGAAAAGCTAGTTGAGAGACAAGGACAAGAGATATTTGATAAAAAAAGAGTTTACTACACAAGAACACCTGGAAATTACCCACATTTACCACTAGTGTTCCAGCTGCAAAACCTATAACACCCACACCCTCCCGGACAGACAACTGTCACAAAGACAAACTATCAATACAAAAATCTAAATTAACACATAAGGAAACCCAAAACATGACAACTTAATCAGAATTTGAATAATGATGGCTCCTCCCAAAATCGGAATAACACAAAATTATAGTTCTGAGTTGACAATTTATGTCCTCTAGGTCAACAAGTAGCTGCATCCCTCAATAGACAAGAGAGATATAAAAATCAACACGCAAAGAACTCTGTATGTGAGGAAATATGTCGTCCAGCTGATTGGCAGGTCAGGCTCGAGTCAGGAGCTTATCTCTCTTGTTGTAGAACAGACATCATACGACAAAACCCATAACTTCCTCAAAAATTCTCAAACCATTTAACTTTAATCAAAATCCATGCCACTCACGACAAGGCAAGTCAATTAAGTCCCATGTACTTTCGTAAACTTTTATATATGTCTCCCACAATAAAAGTAAACAAAAAATACATGACAAAGAAATAAAATGTCCATGTGGAAAAAAGCTAACACCAGTGTCCAACTGAAAACCTTGATATGAAACTTCATATGTTGTTTTAGACAAAAGGACCTTAACTTCCAGATGCTTCACTGAGTTTTGTTTTTTAAGTTTCATTTTTACACATCTTTTTGTTTCTTTTTAGTTCTAAACAAACAGAGTTTTACCGCACTTGCAACACAAAAAAGTCATACAGGTCCCAAAGTTTAGAGACATTACTTGAGAGTAACATACAATAAATACAAAGGAAAGAAAAAAAGAGAGATGGCATCAATAGATGTTTCAAAGAAGGAGCAAACCACACTTGGGCACACACCAACCACCCACAAGCACACATCAGCAACAGTGTTCAAATGATGTCATCCAAAAGCCCATGAACTAATCCTACAGTGACAGTTGACACCCCTCTGACACATGGCACAACCTATGGTCACAGTATAGTTTTGGCCAGCTGTTCAAATGTATTAAGCCCAAAATAGTGAACATTTTTTAGTTTCCTAACTCTTTATCGGTGTTTCCCCCACTATGCCCCAGCCATCTTTTGGTATAATACCTAAAAGTGACATGTAAGTCACTTTACTGGTCGTTAAATTAAAACAAATGAACCTATTTTGATAGTTTTTCATCTAATGAAAGAACTCCCAGTAAACCAACTGTTTTTGGAAATTGGCGAAAATCAATAAAACATCCAAGTCATCGTAAAAGAATGTACCCAAGCCGCTGCCAGCAGTTCACCGACAGCACTTCCCACCACCAACTGCTGGGAGCAGCTTTCCGGAGATAAGGAGTTGATCCATGGTATCAGATGGATATATATGCTCAAGAACTATTCTGTTAAAATTTCAATTCTAAATGAAGAAAATGTGTAAAATTTTGCTTTCTGGGTATAGAAGTTAAGACTTAGTGCATTTCAACAGCTTCCCGCAATATGTAGCAAAGCTTTGTTTCAGTTCCAAATGGTCCCTGGAGTACATGTATAAAAAGTGTTTTTACAAAACTCAATACGAAAAACAATTGAAGCAAATGAAGCGAGCAGTATCCATTCACCGGGCTCGCCTGACACGGATGATCTAACATACTTAACTACTTTCAAGTCTTCTTGTCAGCTGAGTAGTGCATTGGATGTGTGAAAAGTCATTAAGTATTTTTTTAATGAAAATTTACTGTGGTTCTGATGCTCTCTTCCAAGAGCTACCACTAAAACTAAAAGTCTTGACAAATTTATGTATTGTGTTGAATTTTCAATTTCAGAGACCCCTGTTTTCATTCTGAACCGGCAAAATTAGTCAATGAAATCTTGAGGTAATCAAATAGTAAAGGGTCATTATATATGTGATCTTTGTACTGGGTTCATTCTTTTGACAGTCTACATTATGTTGAGTCAAATGATTAATCTGCTATCCAATGTGACTGCACATTTCATGATTTAGAGAAAAAAGTGGAAATAAAGGACTAAGAAACAGACACAACACCTAGAAAAAACTGCCACTGTCGTCAAAGTAGCACTACATGAGGGAAACAGATTTTTTCGGGGGGGGGGGTTTTCCTTCAAAGTGGACTTCGCAAATTTAGGTAAGAAAATATTTCCCCTGTGGCTTAATTAATTAATCGGGAAAATGATGTCATTATCAGGACCTCGGGAAAAACAGTCAGAATTCCAGAACTTCCTGGTGAAATCAGGAGGGTCTGTGCTGTATAATGACAAGAGTACAAACACAAGCAGATATGGAGTCTACAACTGCAAAATCTGCAAGAAGTCATTACCCGTTTAATCTGATGGTCAACAAAAATTTACTCATATGGCCCAGGTTCGAAACATAAAATGAATGCTGAAAAGACTATTATTTGGGCAACGTGATTGGATAAGCATAATTTTTTTTTAACGTCTCATTTGACAATTTGTTAACAATGTATGCATCTAACTGTTTATTCCATGCTCATATGAACACGGCTCAGATAAAAAAAATAAAGTGAAACATATAACAAATGTGTTCCTTTAAGTAAAATCCTAAGACAGCATAAGTGAATGACTAAATATTACACCAGAGCAAAGACTGAGTTCCTTACCAAGTATGGGATATTACCTTAACACTTTGCCATATTATTTCAGAGAAAATCCAAAGAAACTGGATGGTAAACATTGCCAATCGGCGAGATGAGGTGGCAAAGTGTTAATTTGGCCATAGCTCAACAACTTTCCACACAGGACAACAAATTAGCGAGCATGTCAGATATGGCCGTAAAAGCCTATGAGATAGAATATATGTGCATACAGACCATGACATGATCATGTAAGAACTGAATTCAACCTGCTCAAATCATGGTAGAAAAAGGAAAGAAGACGTAATTGATGAATGAAATAAAAACTTTTTTTTCACTGTTTTAAATGTTTTACTTACTTTTACAGCATTTGCACACACAGAAAATAAGGAAAAGACATAAGGACGATAGATGTTTGATAAGAAAAAGAAGCAAACCACACAAGAGCACCACAGAACAGATCTCAGTACACATATAATACCTAAGATTTGTGAAATGCGGAAACTGTATGTTTTCATAGATATGAAATATATCAATGCATAAGGATCTCCAATGTAAAATAATCCTATTGAGCTAGCTGTTACATGCCTACTTAAAAGTACTTGGTTGTACATTCTCTATATCTATATAAGATCTGCAAATTTTGGTTCTCGTGTGAGTGTAAATGCATGTATATGTGAGGCAGCGTGGTGAAATCAGGCATTCGTCAAAATAATAAAATCAAAGAAATTGGCATTTTTCAGTCCATCAGGCAATTTATATAGAATTGTTGGGTTTTTTTACCCAACACCTTTAAGGTTCATTTAAAAACACATAATTGTGTCAATTTTACTGAAAAATGTTGATTTAAGGCACAAAAATGTAAATTTGCAGTTTCTAATGACTCACAAGCTTTGGAATTCAGCAAACTTTGGCGGTCATTTTCTCGCTAATTTTACCTCTGAAGCCAGGTGACCCTGACCTCCTTCAATCACAAATATTTCAACTTCTTTTCAGCATATATATGGATACTTTTTTCATCAGAAGGAAGGCAAATGAGCAGGCTTGAACATGATACCAATAACCCCCATATGCCCTAAAATTGATGAGAGCCTGGTTTCACTGTGCTGCCTCACATAGGAGTTCTTCAATCAATCCATACATAAGGTATCTTTTCCCTTAACTCGTTCACTTTCAAATAGAACTGACCTTGCCATCAGGACAAAATCCCCAGTAAAAATATTTCTTTGTCCGCTGACAAATGTTCATTGGCGCACTTTGGCTCCATCTTTTAAATTACTTTTTTTTACTGAACAAATTTGTCTCTTTAAACCTCTTCGGTCCGATTCTGTTCATTAATGACTGTCATTCACACAACAATTACAGTCATTTATTGCGGGGAAAAGTAAGACAGACAGGCAGAAACAACAGAGGGAAAGAAGGGAAATAGAACCTACCAGTGGCGTCATCCAACCACCAACATAGATCCTTATGTCACCACTGAAGAGGACATGAGTTATCAAAAGTCTAAAGAGCTCCCTGCACAGAAAAGGCTCGCGGGTGAAATTCATGAACAACAGAAAATTAGAACCCAGAGGTAGTAACAAGTGCACACTCAAAGAGTTGATTCGCTGTAAGTTAGAATTCTAAATGGGAAGGTTACCGGGACTGGTGAAAATCTCAATGGCCCCCTTCATGCAGCTGATAGTGTGCAGACATTAACATTACAAAGCAACAATAAAAGTGAAATACCACTGGCTGGAAAATTTCTTTTCAGGTCTTGTATTAGGAAATGACAAGATAAGACATAAGACAAACTTGACATTTTCCATTTGTAAAGGAATTTGACAGTGTGCTTACACTAATTTCTGCAACACAAAATAATTTCTCTCTCTCTCTCTCTCTCATTCACTCCCAAACATACTCACTTCCTGTCATGCCGTAAAGAATGTAAATGTATACACAAACCAAGAATACAATCATAGATGATGATTACAGCTAATAGCCATAAAAAAAGTTCCAAGTTCTGTCGTCAGGAAAAAAAGGGTTTCTCCAAGTTGCGACTCGTACTGTTTCAACATGAACCCATCTTCCTCTAAGCTGTAACTCTAAAACTGTACTCTCTCTCCTACAGAGTTTGGGTAGTGTTTTCTTGTTACATTGACGGCCCAAACTGCTGCTTTGAATACAACCTTGGATTTTACAGGCTTTGTTCTTAACTTCTTTCCATTTAACTCAAATGCTTTCACACTGACAACAACAACAACACAAACATAAAAACTCCACCAACTCACAGCTAGATCGGAGCAGTGGTACTGTCTGCCAATAATAACACACCAAAGAACAGATGGCCCAGAAGTGGCGGTGCCTGTCGATGGGCTACATAACTCATCACCACTAACTCTCACCTACCCCTGTCCAGTCCCACAAGAAACAAGTCAGGTTCTCCCTTTTCTATGTATCCCCCACCACACACGTACATAACAGTGGCAACATAAACAATAAGGCCAACATGTATAACAAAAAGTCTTTGCGACTGCGAGAGACTGGCTTTTCAAGCCTATTTAAGAAATCCAAAAGTCATCTAGTAATAACAACAACAAAATAACACATGCTGCTAACACACAGGTTTGCCTCAACCCAAAATCTGCCAGACAGAATAGTCTTCACTGACATCCAGAGGACGGACTTCCATCTTAGGACAGACTCGTAACCATGTATATTGACATTTCACAGAAGAAAAAAAAACTTAAGCCAAAACCATAACAATGGTTATCCCCCAAAAAGTGTCCCCCCCCCCCCTCGAATAATATCCGATGAACACATATCACCTACACTGTCATTCTGTATATCATATATATCCACTGAAATTCAACATTTCTTCAAGAAAAAAAATAACAGTAACTATCTCATGTGTTTAGTTAATTCACTTTTCAAAGCACAAATTTTCCAAAAAGACATACATTTCTGAAAGAACTACACACTAGTTAGGCACTTCGAGTCATCAGTATTAACTCAAATGGAAAACCACACCATGGTGGCAGTAAAGGTGGAAAGCAAGGAGTGGAAGCTTAAACTGGTCAGAACCCGTTCTCCATCAACAGGTCTCAAAGTAAAATAATGTGAGTAACACAAGACACAAAAAAAAAAAAAAACGACCATTGCAATGCAGACTTGGTCACACATTCCGGCTGTCAATAATCGGTCTAAACTATCACGAGAGCAACAATTGCTTTATTCATCAGGACACATCCCCACGACAACAGGTGTTCTAAAAGATCATGTGTCCAAACTCTATAAGGTAGACAGAGGCTTGGCAAATGATGAAAGCACAAAAAGGAGGTCCTTGTGCTTTTCAAAGGGTGTATTTTACTGATTAAGTAAAGAGGCATGAACAACAATTTGTAAAAATCAAGTAAAAAATGACAATAACAGGTAGATATCACAACAAAAGGAACCCATGGTGATTCTAATAAACGAAGTGGCATTTGGGAAACTTATAAAATTTCTTACAAGTTGAGTAAATTATCATTACATTTCGTAAAATAGAAGAACAAAAATCATACATCTCGCACAATCACTGCCTGTACCAATAATGTCTTTAGACTGTCATAAATCAACAAATAATTCTAAATGTGAGCTAAGAAGAAACAAAAACGCAGACTGCATAACGTACCAAAATGACACACTTAAATCAAAAGGAAAAAGAAATGATGTCTTTTCCCCTTTGGTCTAATATCTTGGCGTAGTGACACAAAACAAGCTTAGATCTGTACATTTTTCCACTATTACATCATCAGTAATTAAATAGGCTCATAGGCATATTATACTTTGATTGGAAGCTATGAGAAGAAGAAAAAAGATGATAATGTAGCCTATTACTTGTGCAACTGACAGTCACTCATAATACACCACATACAAAAGACCTTTCACACCACACTCCGCTGCTCAAATTGCACCTTTCCCTCCCAAAGGAAGGAGAAAAAAATACAACCGATTCCTTATTCCATCCATTTGCAAGTGACTGAGAGCAATCTAACTTATACAATGCAAGAAGAATCGATAGCGAGGCAGTTGTTACTTCCATTCAAGCTCTACATAGCTGCCGCACCATCTGGAACTTGCTTCATTCTCTTCTTCAGCAGAGGGTTGTTGGACTGTTGCAGGTTTTTAATGTTAACAACATGGTCATAGTCAACACGCATGGTAGCTAAGGCATTTGTCATCTCCTCCTGTTAAAGACAAAACAAAAGTTATCTGATTATTTCCTCACAACAAAAGAGACAAACGTTTTCAAACAGAAAATGGGTTGAAACTTGGCTTTACAGACAAAATTTTGTCAAATCAATCTAGGGTGTAACTACTGACACATTATATGAGAGAAATTAAAATCTAAGACTTTCCAGCTCCTTATAGCCATATACCAGTGATACCTCCTCAGACCAGCCGAGACCCTCTTGGGATGAGTTCTGGAGGCAAATCTCGGGCACATGGAGCACAGCTATCTAGCTACCTAGTAATCTAGATCACTGCCTTCAAACACCCTTCACTACAAACTACAAAGTATCAATTGTACTCAGAACAGCATTTTTTATTATCGATAACCAGGCAAAAAAATATACAATCAAAACTACTCTAATAACCACCTGTATAAGACAATCACCTGAACAAACGGCCACTTTCCATATCCTCCCTTGCGTAGTTTTGAACATTATCATGACACTGTGCAAGACTGCAGCCTGTCTAAGACGGCCACATTTTTCCTCTTAGACAGTCTTGACTATATATTATATCATCATTATTGATGTCATAAATGAGAAACATGGAAATTAACTATAGCAAACTTTTTTCCTGTAAAATTTAGTTATGACCTCAGATCTATGTTGCAGGCAGTCCCCTCCATTGTTTCTATCTTACAGTGACATCATAACGTAGAACACAGGCGAGGGGGGTGGGGAGTGGGAAATGATTGTTTGCACAGGTGATTGTTTTGGACAGGGAGGTCATTTGCAGTGGTTCAACTGTACTTGATGATAAAAATATAACTTCCCCAAACAGGGACAAGGAAAACCAGCTTGGAATAAATTTTAAAGAACTGAAAAGAAAAGCTGGGGTTTTTTTAGATTGGATGTGAGAGATTGCATATATTTGAGTCCTCACCTGAACATCCATCCACACGTCTTCTTCCTCTTTCAATACTTGGGCAGACATCAGCGGCGTTTGCGGCACTAAGGTGTTATCCTGCCAATCAAAAGTTATGACAGAACGTTTTATTTACCTCCACACAAAGAAATTTCTGCAACAGATAGTAAATACAACACACACAGCAATACTCATACACATATACACGAACAGTCATTCGATAGACATACAAAATTATGTTATTCAGCAGATGACAATGACATCGTAGTGCAGTAAGGAATACGAATTTCTTACAATTTTAAACACGTATTATACGATATATTAAGAAAAATTGTACAGTTAAGATGTCATTTAATCTAAAATGATATTTGACAGCTGTCTTATTTTTCCCACATGAGTGCATCATTCAGTTTTCAACACGTTCACTCCAGCGTTGCATACTTTTTTGTTCTACATTAGAATGAATGAAATTAGAGAAAATGTATAACATTTCAAGAAAACAAAAGTTTAAGTTTGATCCGCACTGTTTGGTGGTGCTTGTCAGCAGTTTTAGATAGAATGCCTCAGAATTTGTGCTCAAATGTGTACTTACCGACACCCATTTGTTTTGCATAACTTGCATAATAGTCAACCTCTTATCTGGATCAGTCCTCAATAACCCTCTGATAAGGTCTTTCGCTGAAAAATGAAAGAAACAATAAAATTTAGGAATGACATAACCAAACCAAGATCTTGTCTGTTTGATAGTGTTTGAGTGCGTGAAATCCGCAGCTTGCACTGTATGCTTCTCCGGAAGCTGAGAATGTTTCGGAGTGTTCTACGGTCTGCTGGGGTAATAATATAGTGTAAAGCGCAGAGAGCCTGCTGTTGAGCGGGGATATGCGCTATACAAATGCTATTTATTATTATTATTATAAACTGAGTAGGCATATATCTTGAACAGTATCTGACAGCTTATTTGATAGGAATAGCCAAAAATAATCTTCAAGTCTTTATTTTCTTTGAGTGAAGAGTCTATAATACAGATGGTAATAAATTGATACAAATTGTTCTACATTTTGCCAACAATAAGTGTAGCAGCATTCATTTACGCCCGGTGCTACTTTCATACAATTACATTTCCTTTAATTACAAAGGAACACCTTTTGATTGTCTATGTTAAGGTTCGACATAACTTTTTTCAAAGAGGGCCAGATAACTGAGAGAATGTGGAGTGCAGCCCAGATAACTAAAACTATTTGTTCAATAAAATGCACTGAACACATTTGAAAAATAAGAAAACTAATCTATTGATTTATTAATACTCAAAATCCATCAATAATTTTTTCAAATTAAAAAAAAACAACAAACTAGAAGTTATAAAGGCACGTTCAATTTGCACTGTAGAGTTCAAAGAAAAAACTGAATTATTTTTTACCAAGTCCTGAGCATAAAATGGCACAGCATTGGGCTAGATGAACTGACCTTACAGGTCAGATCTGGCTCACAGGTCGTGGTTTCTGTGCCGCGCTACAATCATAGAAATTTTCCCATTCCCACAACAGAGAGCTGCAAATGCTCGTTAAAGTAAAAAGAAGGTAAATAATTGAAGACCATCATATTATTAGCACGACTTCAGCTTTGCGAGGACAACTGATAATGAAGTAAGACAAACTACTCCTTTGCTGAGGCTGAGAGACCTCATTTTTACTTATGGTTGTTCAAGCAAGTATTTATCAAATATTTCTATTGAAATATCCAACTGGAGACAGGAAATTAAGCCACTGGTGTCGTAGCCCCTATACACTACTATTTACGATCCCGGTTAACTTAAGATCCCCCTGTTTTGAGAGAATAGTTTTTCTACTTCACAAAAGGCACCCTAAGATCCTGCTCCGAAGGTCTATATTTGGTTAAGATCCCGCATTTCAGATCATAATTTACAGAGTAAACACCCGGGCGGGCACAGCAGATCAACCAAAAGTGAAAATTTGTAATCATTGAACCGCTTATTGCGTCACAGATCAGCCACTCTCGTGAATTAGGATAAGGATAATATTGCTTGCCATAAGCCATAAACCCACCCACGGGTCACATCAGTTCATTTCAGAGTAAAGGGAGGACATTTTGCAAACTGTGGTCCTGAACACGGGGCACAGTGGATTTTTCCCCTGGTGCATTGGCTAAGGTCCTGTCTGCAAAAGATCCCGCATTTTCCTTGCTCCCGAGCACTGAGATCTTAGGCGCAGACTATTGTATATTTAATTGACCAAAACTCCCTTCCTGTATATAAACTCATACCTGCCAACATTGCCCGGGCCAAAATCTGTAGTTGACACAAATTTTTGTCCAAAAATCTGCAGTTGACCTAAAAAATCTGTAGTAGGCTATTACCACTTGCCGCATACTTAATTGGGGACCCTTATATATTTTGACCCACACATACATGAGTGTGTTTGCGACTTCAAACAAATGTAGAAAATGACAAACAAGAGCAAAAAACAAAAATTAGCAATTAAAATGAAAAATTTAATTTTCATCCGGCTTAAATGAAAGAAGAGTAAATTCTAGGAACTGTGGTTTTTAAATTGTAAATAAAAATCCATTCATAAAAAAGTTATTGGGATTTTTTGTCTCAAAATTTTGGGGGGGCTTTCATAGGAAAATATTGCCAAAAAGTGGGACACGTTTTTGTAATGTATTTTGAGGAAAAACTGTTCATAAGTCAGTAATGAGTTGAAGTATGTATATGAATGAAACTTGGCATCTTCATGTGATTTTTAGTGCAGAATCTAGTTCTGCTATCACTTTTTCGAAATCTATCTTTGGATCATTAAGACTAATATTCAATTTGCATGAAAATATGTTGAATTGCGCGACATCGCTTGAACTGTGGCCGATCACCCCTCTACACTCTCTATGGCAAAGCAGTATCGGGAAAATCCGCAAGGACGTCATTGGTAACCTGTTCAGTTGTAGCAGTTTTAACATTGTATTACTGTAAAACTCTCTGGTTTTAGGCAGTCAATCACATACCGCATAGTGATCACGCGCCTCTTGCATGCCGGCACCTCGCGTGTTGGGTCCGTGATCTAGTTTCTAGCTCTAGTGTTTTATAAATGGATGGGTGGTAATTTTAAATTGGTACATAAAGTGTAGGCCTACTACACACAAAGATCTGAAACTTTACATCAATAAAGACATGCTGTGCGCTTGTCGGTGGCTTATCTCTCAAAATCGGTGGACCGGCAGTTTGACCAAAAAGTCGGAAATATATCGATTTTTTCTGTAGGGTAGGCAGGTATGTAAACAGATCACAAGCACCACCCCCCTCCCCTCCATCCTGTTTTTAAACTGACAACCCCCCCCTTCCAACCATAACTTTTTAACCCATCAAAATTTCAAGTGCAATAAAATATCACAACCGTTATGAATCCAACTTCCAGTCATGAATGGATGGAGGTACGAGTCATCTTCACTTCATATTAGAAATATTTCCTGTCCACATTTAACAAACCTAGCCCTATATTTTCCTGCAGAAATGGGCTTTTTGTCACATTTATCCTTAGTTGAGTTAAAACATGAGGAAATGGTCACTCAAGACAAGATATAAGAAGCTGATAGAGAGCATGACAATTTTTATCTCAGATCAGAAATCAGAAAAATAAAGTTTGTTAGGTAGATTTTCCTCAAACTTCAGAAAATGGAATTGCCAAAGAAATGAACATTTCTACAAAGCAATGTCCCTAAGCATTGAAAAATCCTCACACTGCGACGACTACAACAAATTTTTAATTATTTATATAACAGATAAACAAGTTACCTTCCGGACTGACACGACTCCACTCAGGGTTGGGGAACTCATACTGCCCATTCCTGATCCTCTTCTTCATACCTGGAGAAATTGCCGCACCGTGATTGCTGTAGAAGGGGGGGTACCCACACAACCTGGCCAATAAAATGATAAAAAAGGTTTGTGTGAGAAAAGACTTGTTTTATGGTTTAGGAAGAGTTTTATGGCACTTGCAACACAATTTAGCCATATAAGTGCCAAAGATTAGAGGTGTTGCAAGGGAGAAACATTCAAATAAAAGGAGGCAAGATAAGAACACTACATGATATTTGAAAGAAAAGGAGCACGCCACACCAAAGTACCCACCAACCACCAACACAGTCATTTGGTGCTAGAGGAAAGTAAGATTGAATGACAAACAATAGATGGTAAGGATAGACAATAATAGGGTTAAGACGCAAAAATGTTTGTACTACCAACCTACAAACATTCAAGAAATAACACTTGTCGCGACGCAGGTGATCCCCATCATTCACCAAAATTACAAAAACACAAGTGATTTTGCCCAGGTTGGCAAGCACTAGTCCAAACCATAAATTTAGCATCTAACCTAAATTTACTTTCACTCATTTGCAATACACTGTACTGCAAACAAGACCCTTAAAAAATAAACTGACAGCATGGCCAGCCCCAAAAAACTTTAATTTCATGTCGCCTTGCTTGCGGATGGCAATTTCCCCTGTGATGGAGGTACATCGGATGAGGGCTAGGGGTGACTATGTCAACAATGCTTGTTTTGAGACAAAATGGATTTTCAGGGCAAGGTTAAATTGGCAACTTTTGGACACAGACACATTGGGAATTGTGATTGTGTCTAAACTGCAAGGCGGATTGGTATGATATTTACAGACATGGTGCACTATCATTTGAACGCTTTCGAAGAGCAAATTTTGGAATTTTGGCCAAAATGGACATGGTCACTTCTGGCCATGATATGTGAGTGAGCAATCCTCCCCATTATATGACATTGCAACCCTTTATCTATCTCATTCTCTCCAAAAAGATCATCACACAGAATAACTTTTCCTCTTTTAAAAACCATTGCTGTCATGAAAAATTGATAACTCCAACCCAAGCAATACCTAACATACCCAATGACATGGCATATCAAAGAACTTTATTTTGCAAATAACATTGTCATTAACACACATTCATTTGCCTAATACTTACAGTATATACATGATGACCCCTAATGACCACATATCACAAGACTTGTCATATTTCTCCGGGCCCAAGACCTCAGGTGCTGAAAACAGAACAATTCTTAGCTTTAGTAAAACATTTTACAGCACTTGCAACACAAATAGGTTATATAAGTGCCTGAGATTAGAGATGTCAGTCAAAAGTAACATAATACAAAAAAAAGGAGGTGAGATAAGGACTACACTAGAGCACTCTCCAACCACATTACTGAAAGCAAGACAAAAAGGTAAGACATCGGTTTTCAGTATTACAGGTCAAAAAATAAAAGATACATAAAGAAAACTGAGAACTCAGCAACATCCACAACTAAAAACAAAAGAATAATTTAAAAGCTACTGACAACTTTATGACTGTCACACACATGGAACTCAAGCATTATCATTAAAACTAACAACTATTACAGTCCTTTACCACTAAAGTGAAATAAGTCTCTTTGAAAAGAAGAAAACAACACATATATAGCCAATCCCCCCCCCCCCCCCCCCAATCTTGTTTAAGGGAGTTCAACACTTACAGGGCTGCATTTTTAACTAAAGACAAACAGAAACAACTTTTGCCACAGGCAGTAAGTATGAGACAAAAGATTCATGTTCAACTGTTGACACACTTGATTACGTAAGCCGTTGCAATGGAAATGGCGGCAATCTTGAAAATTGGAAAAACAATTTTTTTTCTCCACCATTTCTACAATTTTGAATTTGTATAAATTCTGTAACTTGCAAAATGCCACAAATAAATAGGTGTCTGCAGCTGGCCATTTTGATTTTTGATACTATACTTAGGAAGTATCCAAAATTGGGGATATGGAATTTGATCTTTGAAAAATATTTTTGGTGCATTAAAAAAAATGGTTTTAAAAAATCTAAAGCAAATTGTAACAAATTAACATGTCCACTACAACAACAAACCATTTCTCTAAGTATATGCCAAATGTCAAGTCTCTGTGCTGGAAAATTTAAAAATGGTGGAGAAAAAAAAAACGGCATATGCAAGGAAAAAGTAGTGAAAAATGTTAGAGAACAACAAGGCAACCAGGTTAAACATCGAAAATGTTAGTACACAATGTAGAACCTTGTAAAATTGAATTCTGTTAATGTTAATCACTCAGTGACTAGTGTCAATAAAATATATACTGAGTGAGGATCGGAAAATACCAAAAGTAAAAAGTGCTCAGAGTGAGTGAAAATCAGTCTCCGAGGCCCTAGACCCTACCCGCGAGCCCCCTTAATTAAAGACTTTTTAATTATGTATTCACATTTCTATTTACACACACTTTATTAAATCCAGTTCGACCAACTCTTCTCTAAACCAGATATTAACTTACCAACATAGTATGGAGTGTAACAAGGTGTCTGCAATGATTTCTGCTGCCCGATTTCCTTTGCAAAACCAAAGTCTGTTAGCTTGAGAACACCTTTCTCTGTTTTGTCTGAATACAACAAATTTTCAGGCTGGAAGGAAAAGAAGAAGAAAAAGAATAAATAGCAGCACCACGGCTATAGTCTCAGTAGCTTAACTAGACTTCATGTCAAAACAAATATACCAAACCTACCTGGAACTTGACAGAATATCACTTCAAAACTCCTTGACGAGGTATCATTTTGCATCCAACTGATCAAAATAACGGTAGTATTAAGTAAAGGAAAAGTTTTACAGCACTTGCGACACACTTAGGTCATGTAAGTGCTAAAGATTAGAAATGTTACAAGAGAGTTACAAAAACACAAAAAAGAAGGAGCGATGAGAAGAATAGGAGTTTGATGGGAAAGAAGAGAAGCTTTTTTACTGTATTTTACACAAATTTCTTTTACATATAACAATAGAATGATCTGCTTGGAATATAAAGGACATGATTGCACCCTTGACATAGTAACATCTAAAACTTGTTGAATAGAAAATAAAATTAAACTTTTATTTTGTACATAAGCAAGGTTGACACAGGAAAGAAACAAAACAAACAGAACTTTTCATACTGATTAAAAATAACAATTCTTAATTTTGTTAAAATAGTTTTTAAAAAGAGCCGAGACAATTCAAACCAGTTGTATATGTTTAACCTTCGTAATGCTCACCAGAAGTGCTATGCAGGCTGGGCTCAATCAGACTTAACAGTTCATAACCGGCCACAAAGCACTAGCTGCATTGAGGTCCACACCATTCAGGAGTAACAGAACTAATAATAGCAGGTAGAGATGACATTATTTTCTCCACACAAAAAAAAGCCCCCCCCCCCCCCCTAAAGTCAACAATAGTCGTCGACAAGAACGCCCGAAAGCTTGCCGGCTCATAGGTGATTTTAGTCACATCCTCAGCAAAGTGAGAGAGGGAGGTGACATTTGTCACCTGAAGCATTACAGGGGTTAACTCCCATTTTAATTCAGCCCAGTTACCCGTTATTGTAACATACCCCGAAGTGTTTATAACTTCAGCCTCAATAACATCAACTGAACTCAGTGTTTTGTTCCAAACATCCCACAATCTGCCAATGTAGCTCCTTTTAGATCCTGTTTTTTACAAGAGCTCTGAGAGAAGAAGGGACAATAACCAGGGTGCAAAGGAAAAGGCATCAGTACAAAATATACCTTAAGGTCTCTGTGTGCGATGCCCATGGAATGAAGATGATAGATGGCCTTTGCAATGTCTCTGATGACCCCTGCTGCCTCTACAAAGAAAGAAATCATTTTTTAAATTAAACTTAATGATCAGCAAAACACAATCAGATAAAAGTTTAGCTTAGGCTACCATCATGTAGTCAATCACAACATAAAGTAAAAGAACCCTTTCTGCACTCACATTATTAGATTAACCAACGAGAAAAAAACTGGTAGAAAAATAAGAAAATGTTGAGATGAGTAGTTACAATAACGAGAATTTATTTGCAGAGATACCTATCCACCAGCATATGTTTTAGAAAGTAAACATCAAATAAAAAACAAATAATCTGGCTTAAAAATTCAAATGGCCATCGATAGTCTTTTACCCTAGTCTTTTACAAGGACAGAAGTTGAATGTTCAAGGATGAATGTGGCGTATACAAAGGGTAATGAAAGAGGTCTCTGACGGTTCTTCATGGTTGAGAAAAGATAAAAAAGGGATGGGGGGGTAAGTTATGGGCTGTAAGCTTGAATCTTCCTGGGACAAAAGATACCAATGGAAGTACAGAAGGCATCAAAAGCCTTTGATTTTGATTGTGATCCACAAAGCCAAAGTGCAGGAACTTTAAAACATCTTGTCAAAATAATGTTCTTACTCCTGGCTTTGGCACAACTAATGTTTTTCTAAGTGAAAAGTGACTATAAGAGCTCTGTGCAGAGAAAATGTCTTAAGCTAAGCTGACAATCCATATGCCCGAAAAACCAATGCGAATTCCGGGTACGAATTTCGCGGGCGAACTATTTTTTTCGCACCAACCTTTTTGTCATTGTGTAAATCCATATACCGGAATTTCGCAAGGCCAAGTCCGAAATTCGCATGCGAAGATTTTGTTTCGCACAAGGGAGCGAAACTTTTTTCTTCGGCACCCGAATTCTTTATGAAGTGGACGGGGCTTATTTCCCGCCAAATCTACTTCAAAGGAACGACGCAGCATAGAAGCACTAGGTAAGTGGGGAAAACGTCGAAATGTTGATTTCCTTGGTTCGAGAGAGAAGTGTTAAAACCAAGACTGAAAAGAGGTGTTTATTTTCAAGGCGGCTGCCATTTCCATGGCAACCACTTTTTTTTTAAGTTTGTGGGAAACTTTCGGGAGTCTATGTAATCTAGATATATCTATGCTATCATTTATCGATTAAATCAGGTAATAACAAAAAATAGCATTTTACTTCCCCCCCCCCTTAAATGCACTTGAATATAACTTCTAACATACATTAATCATAACTTAGATTGCTGTCTGTGCCGCAGCCACATCAGCCAGCGCTGTCGGTGATAGGACCAAAGTTTCGAAAAGAAAACGACCCAAGAAAGCAAAGCTTATGAAGGAAAGGCCATCATCAAGTCTGGACGAAGCAATTTAAAGCCTGCTTTCGTAGAAACAGGAGTTCTTACAGCACAATTCTCTCGTTTTCAACGTAGAGTGCTTGCTCTGACTGAACTGGTGCCGTGATTTCAGTCAGATGACGGATATGAATTTTGGGTATATGGAAGGATGGCTCTTTTTTCATCGCATCCGAATTTCGTACCCGAAGTTCGCATCGGTTATTCGGGCATATGAAATGCCAGCTTTAGACAGCTGTACATGATGGAGTGACACAGACTGACGGGATCTGCCATTCTTCCCTATACTTTGGAATTGTGGGGATCAGTTGGGGGTAGCTGAATGGCAAATAAATTTCCCCAAAAAATTGCAAACAGTGGTGTTACGATCATATTATCATCAAACATAAATCGTAAAGATTCCGCGAAATTCATGGGCAGCCCTACATTAGACAAACGTTTTGATTACTTATTAAAGTAATCTGTCTAATAAACACCAACAAAAACTGACCTCTCTCTGTAAATGCTGTGTCTGCTCTTTCCTGAATTCTTGTGAAGAGTTCCCCTCCTTCCATACTGTAATTTCATCGATGCAAAAGAATCAAGTCAGCATCCAGTAATTTTTAAATACATAATTATATTCTACAAGGGCTCTGTGCGAGCAACTGAAAGAACTCTGTGCAGAAAGGGTGTTAAAAATAAAACAGTTGCACAAGATATAGTGACCTAGATTATCAGGGTCTGATTGTTCTTCTTCTTTATACACTAAGCTATGGAGGGTGGGCACGGGTCGGGGAAGCCATATGACAAATACATTTTTCTAGATCGAAAAAATGGGCGTAACGATCATATTTTCGTAAAAAAAGGAAAAAAATTATAATGATTCTGCCCAATTCAATAATGGGCAGCCCTGATAAAGGAATTTCTACCTCCAAAATTTCAACAGAGCTTATTACACCCATCAGTAATATATTGCTTGATTAATACTAATATCCTGAATATAATCATATTTATTGACTGACACCAAAAATAAAATATAACGTAGAGGAATCAGGATAGTCTTCCTTACATTACAGGTTGCTGGTCAGTCAAAAAGAGTCAGACGTGAATTAATAATAAAAATATCTATAGTTTACAGGTTCAGAACAACACAAATCTAAGTACATTTATTGACACTAATGACATTTACGAAGTAATCATAAATAGAGAAGATTCTTATTCAAATACAGCCAGCTCACCATTCCATTACAACAAGAAGACATCTTTGCCCCGAATAATTATTCTCATAGACATCATGAATTCTAACAATGTGATCACATCCTTGGCAAGCCCTGACGTGCAGATCTACTTCTCGTCTGGCTTTTGGAACATCTTTTAAGACCTGGAATGGAGAAAATAAAACATGCTATGACGATAAATATCGACACGTATCTAAGAATCATCAACTTATATTCAGAAACAGACACAATTTTTCTCTAATTCACACTTTCCAAGCTTAAAAATTCAAAAATACTTCGTGCAGACAGTCTACGGAAAAAAAAATGTCAGCCTGAGAATTTAAAAAAAAAAAATCACCACCGTCATTTATAAACTGAGATTGTTTACAAGGCTGGATGCCCCTCCCCGAAGAGGTATTTTCTCTGGCACTGTATAATAAATCACACAAATAAGCACACTAGCGACACTTGATGAAAACGGGAGCCTCCCACTGTGGCCTTTATAATAACAATAATAATAAATTGCATTTATACAGCGCATTTCCACAAAGAAGTGCTCACTGCGCAGTACAATAACACAAAGAACATATGCAGCGCACAGCTCCTATAGTAATCCTCTTTCTCTCTCTCTCTCTCTCTCTCAATCTGTCTCTGTCTCTCTCTCTCTTCCTCACTCTCTCTCTCTAATAACATAATACATTTTTATGAATAAAAGCCATCCCAGATACAGGTAAAAATTTAGAAGTGATAGCATAAAATACAAATTTCTAGCAAAGACTGCTCCCATTTCTCTCAACCATATTCTTCATGTAAGAAGCTAAATAAAAGAACATTTGGACACCTCGGAAATTACAAAAATTGACAAATATTTGCCAAGTCAGACCCCTCAACAGTCAACAAGAAACAGGAACACTGGACAACAAACACTTCAGTAAGTATCTGACATTCCTGAAGAACGAAAGAAAAAAAAAAGGTACGTTCTAAGTTGCAATCAAACCTCTTGCAGAACATGCAGACACTTACAACAATAATGACATTCTCAAGAAAACCCAATGACCAGGTTCTATGCACAGATTAACTTAAGGTGATATAAATAAAACAATCTGTGTAAACTGTGCAAGTCCAGCAACATCCCAAACCTTTGCACTACTGTCTACACCACATCCTTAACATTTCAATGCTCACACTCATAAAGCTTAGAATATCAAGGTAGAAATACATAAAGTCAAAATAATCTGTGTTAAGTAGAAAAAAATTTAAGAAAACAGTGCTTTAGATCTGAGCATGTGACTGGCCCAAAAATAAAATCACACCTACATCTCTATTGATGAACCTTGATTTCTATTTCTAACTTCATTTCACTCAAAAAGAATCTACGCTGCTGCTACAAAAAGCTTGCACTTCAGTACTTGTAGGGTATGCACTTGACTTAAGCATTTGCTAAATACTGTACTCCTCGATAAAGACAAGCGCGGCGCGGCGCGGGGGAGGGGGGGGGGTGTGCTCTCGTGGTCAAGAGGTATGGCATGGTGTTCACCTCTCATTCAATAGGTCCCGAATTCAAAACCTAATTTCACTCAAATTAAGCCTTTGCTAAATACTGTACTAAAGTTTTGGATAGGAACCCACAGGGTAAGAGATCAAAGGGAAGACCGCGTGGAACCTGGAGAAGAATCACAGAAATCGATGTACAGAAAAGTGGGAAGACAAGGAATAACATCAAAAGGCTACCCCAGAATAGAGATAGGTGGAAGGTGTTTGTCCGTGGCCTATACCCTGGTGCAGGGTGAGAAAGACAATGATGATGATGATGATGAAATACTGTACTCCTCGGTAAAGACAAGCAGGGGGGGGGGGGGGGGGGGGTTGTGAGTGTGCTCTCGTGGTCTTGAGGTATGGTATTCATCTCTCATTCAATAGGTCCCGAGTTCAAAACCTAACAGCCACGGAAAATTTTCTTTTCTAAATAATTTTCTCCTTTCCTGCTCTCTCATCGTGTTCTGTCGCCTGTTTTCGCCTCCACTTTCAGAATCCCCCCCCCACCACCCCTTTCTTTTGCTCCTCCTTTCTATGCTGCTCCTTGGCTCCCTCTTACTGTTATCTTTCAGTCACACCACTGATCTTAGGAAGATCTAACACCTAGCCTTCTTGGATAAAGGCGGAAAAAATCTCAGAGATCCCATATATGTGCAAGTTGCACACATTTTGGATCCCTTCGTGGTCCTAAAATGGATAAAGAGTTGACTTCCGCTGCCACCCGCGCAAAATTCAAAATTACTTCCTACCAAACTGGAAATGCTTAATGTGTCCCATGCGCTCATATGACCTTGTGCAGTTGTGACAGTTGAAAGCACCATAAAACACTTTTTTTTAAAATGATATGTGTAGGTCCACTACAGAATAATTGCTGATGTTCAAATTTTCTCCATATGAAAGGTCATTAAACTTTATAGGTTTCTTTCTTGTCATGTTTGTTGCATGTAAATGAGCAATTTCTAGATCTAGTGTATTTGTTGTGTGGTCTAAATAAATTACAATAAATAAAGTGGAGTAGAATACACTTCTTAGGCCTACCCCATTTAGACCAAACATAGTTGATCTGAAAACAGCGGTAAACCAAAAGCAAATAAAATCCCTGAAAACATGTCTCTGTATTATTTTACTCATGGACCCATCTCATGCTCAGAAAATTCTAAAGCACTTTTCTTGTTCATTTTTATCTGCTTTTTATACGAATTTTGATACTTTAAGTCTTAAAGTAAAAATGTACCCATGCCCCAACCAAAGAAAACCCAGCGGTTGCACAGATTTTTAACTGACTTCACTGTATCATTAGTAAATTTTTACTTTTAGACCCGCACACAGATTTTTTTAGGGAAAGGGGAGCATGTTTAAAAACAAGTCAAATATTACTACGCCCTTGGTCCTATTGTAATAAAGTAGTTCGTATAAAAATATCCCTAACATCTCATAAACTAATAATTTACATACAGGGATATAATAATAATTATATATACAATGTATATCAAAAATTTGTATAAAGCAGATAAAAATGAACAAGAAAAGTGATTTAGAATAACTGAGCATGAGATGGGTCCATGAGTAAAATAATACGCAGTGACTACGTTCACAGCGCCGTGAATCCTCCACCATTGACACAGAGGCACGACTGAAGCACTACGGTTGCTCAAACTCAAAAGAAATGTGAATGAGGAAAAAGCACAGGAATACTCGTGTGAAAAATAATGCAGCCGTGGCCCGAATGCAACAGAGTTTACAGAGGGCGAAGGCGAGCACAACAAAACAGCCTAGGTCGACAAGGCCTCCTTCGTTCACTACGCAGGACACGACTCACGACTTTGATCCTCTTCCCGAGTGCAGACCCTTCACTGCTTGACAATTTGAAAATAAAAGTCGTTCGAAGAAACAAGGGAGAATGGAAGAAGGCAAAGGCGGGAAGAGGGGCGGGAGGGGGTGAAAAAAAGAAGCGAAAGGAAAAGGGTAGGGGGTGACGTGTGCAAGATCATTCTTAAATTGTTAACTACATTCAGGGCGCAGAGAACGTAGCCAATTTGAAAATAATACTGGTAAACTTTTACTTTTCGACCCACTGCAAAACTTCAAATATAGTGAAACCCAACAAATTTTTTAGACCCGCATGCATGTGCACTGTTTTGAAGGCTAAACTGCCATAATTTTTGCTTCAGAACACACATATATGGCAAATCAATCGTTTTCAAGTAAATTAAAATATAAATCCTAAAATTGCCAAAACAAATCATGGTGAAAGGCAGGGAGCCTTGCCCCCTTGAAACCTCCCACATTCTTTTGGGGTCCCCTGAAACTCCCCATGTTCTTAAAAGGCCACCTCTATTCTCACCCCGGGTGAGAATAGCGCAGGCAAGCCTTTTGGCTATTCTCATCCGGTGCGCCTTCATCGTGATAGGCCAACCAGTAAGCATTCACTTTGAACAAACCTTCCAGCGCTCTTGTGTTGAAAGTGTGCAATTTTGTCTGTGGGCAGTGAGAGAGAAAGAGAGAGAGGGGGGTGGGGAGGGGAAGGAGAGAAAGAGAGAGAGGAGTAGCGCGAGAACTTTCGGGTAAAACAAAATGGCGACCCGCATAGTTCGGCTCGATTCAAAAAGTTAAATAGCAGAAGCATCTTTGTAGACGACCAAATTAATTTACTTTTGTGTCTTTACATAATTTTTTACCTTTGTTTTTGTCAATTTGATCGTCCACACCAATGGACAGTATTCAGAAATTAGGAAAAACAGATCTTGTTTCACACAGGGTGAGAATAGAAAACTGGCAAGTTTCACCCGGGGTGAGAGGTCAACCTTATTTCTATTCTCATCCGGGGTGAGGATAGCCACTTCCTTCTTAAAAACAAGTCATTACTACGCAATTGAACCATTGGTCCTATTATAATATAGATCTATTTCAAGTTTATAAATATTCATCATTTCATAAACTAATAATTTGCAGTGTGGATATAAAGTCAAAATTCGTAGCAGATAAAAATGTAGTCTACAAGAAAACTAAGAATATCTGAGCGTGAGACAGGTTGATGAGTACAAAAATACTGTATCATTAAATCATTAGGATCGTAGTCATAGCCTATAGATTTAGAAAGTAGTGTGAGTGGTTGGGTAAATTTTTTCTGAAGTTTTATATAACGAAGTGACTATTTCTCCAAACGATTGGGAAAATAAACTTCATCTCTATTTCTCAGAACGGTTTCCTTTCTCAAAACTTTTTGGTTATTTGCGAGATTTAGGCATTCTGCCATTTTGCGAGGACAGGGAAGAAGCATTTTTGCATCGAATTCAATTTCTAGGACTTTAGAGATTTTTAAATGTCGGAACATTCAGATACTTCAGTTGTGGTTGAGGCAACGTTCCTGGATTATACATATTATTTTTTTTAATGTACTTCATTTGAAAATGTCTTCAAAAGGTACTGCGAGAAAACATGACTGCTCAACCTTGGCAGAAACCTATTTTGTATTTAGTCACTCCTAAAGCCAACACTAAAATCCTTCATGTAAACAAAAAAAAAACAACGTTCGGAGAAATAGTGCCGATCTTTATTTCTCCGAACGGTTTCCGGCTTCTGGTCTCGCCTATTTGCAAGAGTTCGGCGCCAACTTTCATTCTGCCAT